TAAATATGTCTACGGAACCTTGAAATGGTCCTTTTTAGGATTACAAGTGCAAAACACCCACCCACACCACAGCATGGTCCATGCAGGCTAGGGGATTCTGGGACTGGTATCAGAAAAGTTACTTTTCCATCACATTAGCAAAGAAATCATAGACTGATGGCTTTGGTAACTTATCTTTTGCGTGGTTCACATAGGCACACAATGGCTATACATGGAATAAAAATATTTCCTACTGGTGATTTACAAATATGTAAGTGAACTCTCATAATTAATTAGATGTTGATCACTTTCCTAGTTGTAATCAGACATGCAAGCAGAAATATGATCTGTACTTATATATTGTGGTGGCAATTTGAATTATGTAAGTGTCAAAAGTAGGATTCCAGTCAAGAAATATGAAAAAAAGGGAAAGAGCTAGATAACAAATCCATATAGTTAAATTCATCTATACGTATTCAACAGTTGCTTTCAAAAACTATTTGAAGTCCTGCTCCATACTTCTGTAACACCACCTTTCTGAATGGTGTTATCTAGCTGTCCTTATGCTTAGATGGAGAGGATCTGGGACAAAAATGGACAGCCATAGTTACAAAATTCTCATCTTATTTGCCTCAGTCCGTTCTAAAGTAATGCCTGTGTAAATGTAAGGAAATGTGAACAAGAAATCCTTCGGCATAGGACTGGCTGATAAACGCCAAAGACAAAATGAAAGGTGGTCAACTTGTGCCCTTACAGATGTTGCTGAACTTCAATTCCAATAGCTGTGGCTGTGCTGGGGCCAGGGCTAGTGAGCTGTATTTTAGGAACATCTGGGCAGCCACAGCCTGCCCATTCTTGGACTAGAGTTATGCATTTTTTTACAAATATTCCTCTGGAACGGGCATCTCTTTTGTGGCCCTTAGAATTCTGTAAAGTCTAGATGGAGATAATAGAAATAACCATTCTGCATATGTGATCTCCCAGCTATTAACACAAATTCCTATGATCATAAATAAACCTATACTAATAATTGCCACTCCATGCTTCATTATCCATCTTGTGTAATAAGGGGAGAAAAGTAGTGCATCAAAAGGGCCCCTGATGAAAACTGCACAATGGCATAAAGCAATCAAAAACATAAGAGCTCTGCTGGATCAGGCCAAGGGCCCATCTAGTCCAGCTTCCTGTATCTCACAGTGGCCCAACCAGATTCCTTTGGAAGCACAAGAGACAACTAGATACCAGTCTCCTCATCCCCCTCCCCTGCATCCGGCATTTTGAGGTACCTTTCTTTTAAGCCTGGAGATTATACATCGCCATCATGGCTTATAACTTGCGATGGACTTTTCCTCCAGGAATCTGTCCACTCCCCTTTTAAAGGCATCTAGGCCCAGATGCCATCACCACATTGCGTGGCAAGGAGTTCCACAGACTGACAACACTCTGGGTCAAGAAACATTTTCTTTTGTCTGTTCTCACTCTCTCAACACTCAGTTTGAGTGGATGTCCCCTGGTTCCAGTTTTGCTTGAGTGGGGGGGGGGGAAGCTTCCCTCTATCCACTTTATCCATCCCCTGCATCATTTATATGTCTCAATCATGTCCCCCGTCAGGCACCTTTTCTCTAGACCAGGGGTGTCCAACCTTTTACCTTCCCTGGGCCACATTAGAAGATGAAAATTTGGTTTGGGCCACACATACATTTGGTTTGCGTCACATGGGGGGGGCAGCCTTAGCCATCCTCCATAGCCCCGCTCCAAGTGCGCTTACCGGCAGCTGCGATCTCAGACAGCAGAGGCTGCCAGCTTGACTCCGGCGGCTTTATGGGGCCGGGAGGGGGTCCACCTATTGATGGGGATGGCGCAATGCAGTCACGCAGCCCCCCTGTCCCCTCCCCTCCCACTTCTTCCTTCCTTCTCTCTCTCTCCCTCTACTGTTATGACATGCCCCGGCCACATTCCGGCCACAAGCGCTGGCAGTGTAACTTGAAACTTTGGAATTTCTTTAAAAATAAAAAATTGCACTGGGCCGCATTACGAGCTGACCTGGACTGCATGTGGCCCTTGGGCCGCAGGTTGGACAAGCCTGCTCTATACTAAAGAGCCCCAAACGTTGTAGCCTTTCCTCATAAGGAAAGTGTCCCAGCCCAGTAATCATTTTAGTTGCTCTCTTCTGCACCTTTTCCAGTTCCACTATGCCTTTTTTGAGGTGAGGTGACCAGAACTGTATTCAATACTCCAGGTGCGGCTTTACTATAGTTTTGAACAATGGCATTATAATATTGGCTGTTTTATTTTCAATCCCCTTTTTAATGATACCTAGCATGGAAGAAGTTATACAATGCTGCACGATTAGAGAAGCAAACAGCCCCACAAATAAACAGAGAAACAGATGTGTGCCACAGGTGGGGAAATATGGATTTGCCTGGCAGCCAACGGCCTCTGAAGAATAGGCAGAGGGAGGGAGCATATGAAGACACCACAACAGACCCACAGATGGTAACCAAACCATGTATGACTCAAATATTTTGACAAAATGAATAACAGTACTGTTTGGGGGGGAGTGGGGGAAACAAATATTCAAAATACGTAAACAGATAAAAAGCAAGGTGAGGGGAAAACCACAGGATAATTTACTCTTTAACAGACCCAGCAAGATACAGTGCATGTTTATTCCATTCCTGGATCCTATTTGGCAATAGGATTCTTCGCGTTAGAATCCTAACACAGAATCCTACTGCAAGATACACCTTGCTGATTTCATCATAAGAATACAGAAGAACTTAGAAACATTACTTTTTTTAATTACATCTCTCAAAAATCCCTCAGCCAGGATGGCCCACATCAAGTAGAGGACTCTGGCACTTGTGGTACAAAAAGTAACTTCTCCTGCATTTTCCATACACAGACAGGAATGATGTCTTCACAAATACAACTGGCAGTTACAATAAAAGCTTCAGACGATCATGTTAGCAACTTGCATTAAAGAATTTTATTTAGTTCCTTACAGAAACAGTCTTTTGGGATCCGTTCCCAGTTACGATTGGGTTGGATCCATGCTATTATAACCCTATACACATGTTAATAGGGAGTAAACCTCTCTGACCGCAATAGGGTTTACCTTTGGATAAACGTGTATATATTTATGCTACATTTTAATCATGCTTTATATCCACTGAAATTAATGGGGCTTATTTTAGTCATGATTAAGGATGCTAATGAATTGTTTCACAAACTCTCAAGAAATTCTACAGAGAAATGAGATTGTGTCAGGTCAAAAGGTCTGATGCTTGAACACTTTCCCAAGAACTCTGTTAGACTTTTAAAGACTTCTAGGAAAAAAATCAGAGCTGGCTGGATAGTTCAGGGGTTTAAGTATCGGGCTGCAGAGCCGAAGTATGGGAGTCCAACCGCCCACTGTGCATCCGAGAAGAGCCCAACCTGTGTGGCCTTGTGGGAAGCCTCACAGTCCCAGGGCACCCCCAGAAGAAGGGAACGGTAAACCACTTCTGAGTATTCTCCACCTGGAAAACCTTGAAAAGGACCGCCCTAAGTTAGAATTGACTTGACAACAGATGATTACTATTCAGAAAAATCAGAAGCTGCTGTTCATCACAGCAGGTTTTATCCCCATTTAGGGCTAGCTTTCAGGCTCATGTCAAATAACATCACCCAGGCTGGGAGGCAAATGCTGGACGCCACTAAAACATTCTGTCCCCTCAATATCATTATTTCAAAGGGACTTTCCTTCTGATCCTTCCTTTCCTAAATTAATTTTACCAGAGAGTGCGCTGTAGTGGTTTGAGTACTGGACTGTGAACTTAGACCATAGGTTCTTAAGCTGTGGTCCGTGGACCTCCAGGGAGCCACAGTGTCCTCATGAAAGCTTGAAGGAATGTCATGAGATTTTTCAGTTAAAAAAGAAAGAATGAATGAAATAATGAAAGCAAGAAAGAAAAGGAAATGTAGAACAGAATCTTAATTCCCTTGCTTTTTTTGTGTAAAACTTGGCTTTTCTAACCTACTGCCTCCATTGAAACCACACAAAAGTAAAAATTGGTTATGAAAATAACTGTTTGATAACAAATAACGGTTTTGATATTTCTGCACATTATGAGAATATGCAAATGAATGACACTGAGTGGTTGAGAGACGGCAGTGACATTTTTTTTTACTGAGCCAGACAAACAGAAGCTGTGGGAAGAGAGAGTTGGAGTCTGTCAGTGTCGGAGTGAGTGGAATGTTTGGATGGACTTCATGATCATGTTTTTTTCTTTGATTTATGCTAACAAAACTGTTTGGTTATTGTTAGGTAATGAGACTTTTTGATATTATTACAGTGAATTTTGTAATAATACATTTTGGCTGAGCCAAAAATTTGATGCACGTCAGGGTTTAAAATCTTGAGTTAAGTCTTGGTGTCTGTGGCAACAAAAGAAATTTAAAAGGGATCTGTGGTAAAGAAAAGGTAGGAACCACTGGCTTAGGCAATACAGTTTAAAATCCACATTGACACATTCATTAGGTAACCTTGGCTCTCTCAGCCTGGCCTACCTCACAGGGTTTTTTGTGAGGATAAAGTGGGGAGGAGGAGAACAGTCAAATCTGTGATCTTGAGGAGGCCAGAGAAAAGGTAGGAATATAGTAACAATCTATGTGTATATACCATGTAAGATTTCAGCTCTCTCTTATATACAGCAGATGGTATTTTCTCAACGTGATTATTTATCATTTGCTGGTGCAGAAACAGAGTTTCATTGAAAAGTGGGAGAGGGAGGCGGGGGAGGGGGAGAGAAGGAACACTGTATATTTTTGCCTGGCATAGAGTGGATTTATTAATATTTCTTATGACAGATGATTCATGGTGTCACTTCATAGCAATCTTCTGGCACACCTTTGAAATATTTCCACAAATATATACATAACCTAACATTTGGTCCAGTTAAAAATATTTTTCACCCCCCCCTCCCCGCATGACGGCCACCAGTTTCAAGCTGGACCACTCTCTCCCCACTTCTACGTACCTTTCCAGTTGCTTGCCAGGTGAAATTCATGGAGTGAATATTGACTGGAATAGCTGGCATTCGCTGCTGAGCTTTTCTGAAATCATGAGTGAAGGGGGCCATCTTCCCTTCTGAAACAATCAGAATATCCTCTTCAAAGCCTGTAAAACAAAACCAATTAACTCAAAACAGGTGGGAGATTAAATCCAAACGTGGAATGAAAAGCAAACATTTACCCCAAGAGCTTTCACAGAAAGACAAACATGCAGGCTTCCCCCAGAGAGGCCGCTCAAGCTTCCTACATGGAAAGCCCTTCTGTGTGGAGGGAAATGTGTGCAAATCACATGTCTATGGCCATGTGAAACAACTGTGCACAAAGCAAGTCAGCTGCCTGCACCCAGGTGAGAAATCAGTGACTGGCTGTCACAGACAAATGTTGTGGGGGAATGATAATCACCCATGACATTCTTTACATCTGACTTTGCATGAAAAAAACAATGGACAGCTTTCTGTTCAGGAGGGTAGACACAATTCTGCAAGCCTCTCACAGTCTGTAAAATGTTTTTTTTTAAATTCTCCCCCAGAAGCCCTTTTTTGGACAGACACTGAATTCTGTCTGAGATTTCTCTCTTCCCTTTTTCTATTCAAGCTTTGAAAAAGATCAGCACCACAGAATTTATACGCTTCTTTAAGTCCTTCTATGAAACCAAGCGACAGTCCATTCAAATTTAGGACTTCGAGCCTATGCATACTAATGTGGGACTATGGCCCACCTTAGTCCATCTTAGAATTAGGTGGGCCATGGAGGAAAACATCTCTCCAGCTTCTTCTCTTTCTATGTTGGCAACCTTTAGATCTGTTTCTGAAACTTTATTTGGACAAAACGAGTTCAGTCTTGTGTATGTGGAAGGGTGGGTGGGTGGATGACTTTTGAAATTCCCTGTGGGCTCCTGACATGCCCACCGTCCCTCCTTACAAGCAGATAAATATAGGATTGCCCCTGTAAATATATTTGACCTGCAGGGCACAAGGGACAGGTATCCTGGCTCCAACATTTCAGCTCTCACAGTAGCCATCAGATGCCTACAGGGAGGATGCAGAGATGCACAATTGCTACCCTTGCTTCTGCTACCCAGAAACTGGTATGTTGCCTTTGACACTGGAATTACGATCCACTTGCCCTTACTGGTAACCCTTTGAAAGCTGCCCAGGTCAAAAGCCATAGTTATATACTGTGGTAGCACATTTCACGACTAAAAAGTCAGGGTGATTCAGTATGGAGGTGGGCTTATGCCTCCCCTGAGACCATGAGACTCCCTGGGCGACTTTGGCGCAGTCATCCTCCCTCAGTCTACCTCACAGGGAGGAGAACCGCTAGCTAAGCACCTTTCCCTGAGCTCACTGTGGATAAAAGCGAGATACAAGTAGTATAGCCAACAACCTATGTTGCGCTATCAAGGTCTACTTCGGGACGCCCACCCATCACCGACGGCGCCCACCCCCTCCCTCCAGCTAGTTAGTTCTACGTCTCCCTTAGCGGAAAGTAGAACCCAATGTCCCCCAAGGATTTGTCCCGCCGAGAAGAGACCGGGAACGGCGCCTGCGCGCAGTAGAGACCTCCTCGCGTGCGCCTCTTCCATCCTGCGCGCTCCCCCCTCCCCCGCGCGGGCGCTCCTAAAGCAGACAGGCACGCACCCCGCTGGCGGGAGACAGGAGGCTGCAGCGCGAGAGGGGAGCCCGCCTTACCTATTAACACGCGAGCTTGGTGGGCGTCAATCCACAGGTAGAGGGTGTCCTCCTGTCGCTGCGCGGCGTGTGCTGAAGGCAGCCTCGCGGAGAGGCACGCGAGGGCGCACAGCCACAGCGCCGCGGAGCCCAAAGCGCTCCTGCAGCCCCTGCTTCTCTCACCGGCCATCCCGGCTTCTGAATTGTCCCGTCGGGCAAAGGAGAGGGGATGGGGCAGCTGGCTTATGTCGGTGGGGTGGCCCCCCTCTACGGGACTGCTTTCGCGGCTTGCTGCGGCTCTTCGAGCTCTCCTTTCACGCCGCTCTTTCGTACGCGCGCCCCCAGCGAGAGTTTCCCAACTCTGTAAGGTCAAGGCGGGCGGGCGAGCGGGCGAGCAAGGCGGCTGGCTTTGCTTTGCCTTTCTGAGGAGGCTGCTTCCGAGGGTGGGTTTGCCGCTTGGCAGCCGCAGTCGTTCTGAGAGGGGGGACTTGCCCTCGTGAGAGGTACAGGAGGACGCGACCCCGTTCAGCTCCTCTAGGTGGCGCAGTGGCACTGAAGACGTATTGAAGCCGCCCTCTCCCGAAAAGTGCGCGCGG